CCCCTACATTCTACCCTTAGGATAACCCTTGCAGTATCCCTTTAAAGGAGCCCTATTCTAACTACTAAGGCCCCTACATTCTACCCTTAGGATAACCCTTGCAGTATCCCTTTACCTATTCTAACTACTAAAGGCCCCTACATGAACCCTTAGGATAACCCGTGCAGTAACCCTTTAAAGGAGCCCTATTCTAACTACTAAGGCCCCTACATTATACCCTTAGGATAGCCCTTGCAGTATCCCTTTAAAGGAGCCCTATTCTAACTACTAGAGGCCCCTACATGAGCCCTGTTTCCATGTTTCGGGCTTCTTGGGGCATCCCCCGGCCTGCAGGACAGTTTACCTATAGTCTCCATTGTAGTTCCTTTTTCTAGGGTTTAGGGTTTAGGGTTTAGGGTTTAGGGTTTAGGGTTTAGGATCTAGGGTTTAGAGTCTAGGGTTTAGGGTTTAGGTTTTAGGGTTTAGGGTTCAGGGTTAAGGGTGGTTTGACCAATTGTATATACTAAAGGTCTGAAAAAGGTAACCCCAAAAAAGGAATTACTGGAGACTATACTTACTCTGCATCACCCAACCAAGACCTATGAGCTAAACCTTAGCCCCCATAGTAGCTGCCTTTTTGGGGCTCATATTTAGAATCCTATAAGGTAATCCCAAAAAGGAACTACTACAGGACCTATGCGCTGGACCTTACCACCCCAAACCTTAAGCAACAGTTCCGGTAAACCTCCCCCCCCTAGACCCCCCCAACTACCCTCTAATAGACCCTAAATACCCACAATTAAAGGGCATAAGGGCTCCATTACAGGGCCCTTGGGGGGTCCTGGCCCAAACCCTACGCCCTGGCCTAGATCTGCTTTTGACTTCGGGAGATGGCTCGGCTTTCTGATCCTCTTCCTAGCGGCGTAGTGGTTGAGCTGTGATCCTGAAAAACAAAACCTCCTACAACACCTTGATACTATACCTATAATAGTCTCCATTGTAGTTCCTTTTTGGGGGTTAGCTTTTAGGATCCTTAATATAAAACGGGTTAAACCAAAAAAGGAACTACAATGGAGACTATAGGTTAGATACGATTTTGAGAAAAGCCCTGGGTAGTTGTTCAGGTCCCCCCTCTACGCCGAACCCGCACGCCTGACAACGTAAGCCCTATAGAGGGCGTCAGTCAACTTCAAAAAGAATACCCGGAACCCTAAACCGTAGACCCGACACCCTGGACTAGACCCCTAAACCCTGAAACCTCCCCCCCCTCCAAAACCCTAAACCCTTAAACCCTAAACCCTAAACCCCCACCCCCTCCCGATCGCAGAGTTGCCTGGAGCCTCCGGCTACCCTCTACTTGAGGGTATAAGGAGGGTCTCAGCCCTAAACCCTATAACGCCTAAACCCCTAAACCCTAAACCTTAAACCCTAAACCCTAAAAACCCTAAAATCCTCCAGGAAGATTGCTGGCTCTGGCTCTGTCGCCTCGCCGCGATGCGTCGCTGGCCGGCTGCCGGGCTCCTGGCCGTTTTCGGGTTTCGGGTTTGGGGTTTCGGGTTTGGGCTTTGGGGTTTCGGGTTTAGGGGTTTAGGGTTTCGGGTTTCGGGTTCGGGTTTGGGGTTTCGGGTTTTG